AATCGTGAGTATTTATAATAAAAAAAATGACTAATGCCACCTCCTCCCGTGAGTCAGGCATACCTAAGTAACTAAGCAACCGCTGTTCTTAAATCCGGAGGTCTGTGGAGGAGAACTCTTTCTATGCAAGTTTGGGGCTCATTACCTTGAAAGAGCAGTAGATTTCTAGTAAAAATGAGTCATTAAGGCGCTTTCTCATTTCGATAGAATGGGGTTGGACTAGTTTTCGAAATCCCGAATTAAATTAATGGCGAGCGTTTTACAAGTGTCGAATTCCAGTTATGTCGCATGGAAGTATTTTTACTGGGAGCCTCTTATGTGCGATAAAGGTACAACTTCAGGTCTCCTGAACTCTTGGTACTGTGAGCTAATTTTCGAATGAACACCCGTTGTAAGGAACTGGGATATGGTGTTTGTTGGCAGATGCCACAATAGTAGCAGCTTAGTTGACCTGGTGAAGTGCGGTTTAAAACTTTCTCGATTGTTCAAAGATTTTTTTTTAAGTATGCCTTTCTAATAGGAACACGTGACAGTGTATGCACCCCTGGAACTGTTGTACCAGTGTGAATCTGTACTTGTAATACTGAGGCAAAGAAAGTTCATCTCTGGCTTGTACCAGCTGGTTTGGGGTTGGTTAGCAGATTAATCTGTTTTATCATATTGAGTGTTAGGGCCAAGACAAAAATGGGCACACGACGGAATGGTAAATTATGGCTGCACAGCAATACGACCTCATAATTCTGTCACCAGTTCTCAGTGCTCAAGCATTTGAGGGGAGACATGCTAAAGAAATGTAGTTTTTTTGTGTTAGCTTGTTTGTGCAGCTGGAGTTTCGACCATGGGATTTGTAAATGTTGTCTTTTGAATGGAGAGCTTCCCTCAGGTTAAAATTTAAACTCATTGGATGAATTCTCACAAGGCTTTTGGATGCCCACTGATTATTCTATGGGCTGTGACCTCTTCTGTTCAGTATTTCCTGTAATGCTCTGTGTCACGCTGCTTTTCTTCCTTACAACTTGTATTATAACTGATTATACTGAATGCATAGGATTCTATGTTTAAGGGTTTACATATATGGTATAATATGAGAGAGAGAATGTAGTTGCTTCTTTGCACTGCATAATTAAATTTAGTTTTGCCCTTAAAAAGATGGCAAATAAGTGTGACACCCCCACCCAACCCCTGTTACTTTGATATCTGGCTCAAGCTGAAGCAGGTGCTTCTCCAGAAGATGTTTTTGGAGGTTGTTGGTCTGTAATGATAGGATTGGTTGTCATGGCTCAGTCTAATGTACTCACTGTTCAGTCCTGTCTTTACTATTATTATTATTATTGTTATTATTATTATTATTTCTTGTATCAAAGACTTGATTTACTGCTGCGTTTGTTGCTTTGTTAGAAATATTTTATGATCCGGCTACTAGGAAATTTCGGCACATGAAAAATTATGAAAAAGAAAAACCATAATTTCAGAAGAACCTGAGAGTAAAGTCATCAGTGTTAGGGAGAGGACAGTTAAATAAAGAAATCTAAAAAAATAACCTAAAGGCTAAAGCTTCTGTCAGAATGTGTTCAGAAGTGCTAAGAGATGTTCAGGGGCAGGTGTGCATGAAGTTTGGGTGTAGCGCCTTGTTTGCATGGCTGATACAGGGCTGAAGTTCAGCCCTCATTTCTCACTTGTGACTCATTCTTTCATCTCTAAACATTGTGAGCTGGACTTTTACTGGAAATAATGGAGAATGTGCAGACTTTGACATTGAGTTAGGGCTTTAAGCAGTTTGTGCCAGCTGGCTTGTGACGTATGGACTCCATGAAGAGCGGGGGATTCTTATTCGCTGACATAATTTTCCAACCAGTATGTGAGTCTAGTGGTGTAGAAATGCCAGGTACTCAGAGTGGGTGGTGCACTCATCTTTAATTACATCCTGCTCCACAGAAACACTTCCATGGTTTTTAGTGCCTTATCTGGGATGTTGAAAGCAAGTTATGAAGTCCCAGCCAAACCAGAAAGAAGCTCTTTAATTTACGTCCCCGCCCCACAGATCACATACTTTTTAAAGGGGTTATGGTTGATATAGTCAGACCAGATTGCTGCATTTGCGGACCTTAATTTTATACTTCTTACTTTCATCACTGGGTAACATAAACCTATAGTGTTTTACCTGTTTCCTGCTCTGTAGCCATTACTGCTGTAAAGTTACGGTGATGTGACGGTAAACTTAAAAAAAGGTGTTGCAGGAATATAGGGAAGTGATTGTTCTAGCTTTGAATATCAAGTCTTTTATGTGGTAGTAATGCTGAAATATTTGAATAACCAAATTTTCATTCCAGAGTGTTGAATACTCTTTATGGCGACTATGCCTGTAAAAATGCTTGAGATACTCAACACGTTGGATGTTGTAGTGAAATACTTCCACTGCTGAAATGTCCTGCATGCGCATTTCCCCTGTAAAGCTAGCCTTCTCCATGACAACAGTAATATCGTCCTTTTCATTTATCTCCCCTAACAACAGTAGCCGGAGCTATTTTTGTGCATGTGCCTTGATGGCGAGCTGCCAGGGCGATATAACTAGAGACATGGCCTCTGCGTGTTTGCAGGATGGAACGCAGGATCTGTCTGAATGACAGCTGATATGCTGATGGGATATGCCACCTCTACAGAAATTTTGCCTTGATGTGTTTATTTAGGAACATCAATGACGTAGAGACTCTGCTTGTTTATTTAGGAAATCAGCCCCAGAGCCATTTTTTATTTTCTTAGAATTTGCTATTTCAGCAGTTATTCGGAATGACCTTTATGCCAGAGGGATGTCAGAGAGATGACAGGACCGTCCACGACCGCGGGCCTCTGCCTCGCTTATAGTCTGCGGCCCGAGTTTTTGTCTTGTTTGTTGCTTTTCTTCCCCCTGCGAACATGACTAATACGACACGGCCCATCCGAAGAGATTGCAGGAAAAGGATGGTTTGCAGGGAGCTTCCTTTCTGTTGCTTTTGTCACCACACCCTTGGGTCCACAGGGAAGCGGAGACGAGAGTCAAGAGCATGGAACATAAAAGAAACTAAAACGAAGATGTCAGGAGAACTTGGGGCACGGGCTGCTTCATAAATAACCCCTCCCAGTGTACTCAGGATGAGTCTTGTCAGTTCACTTGGCTAACGGAATCCAAAATATAACTCTTTCGTGCATTTCAGTAGACCGTGAGCTATTACTTTCAGAGATCCGCTGATAAAGAACTTTTTTATGTGTTGTCCCTTTACAGGTGTGTGAATAACTGCCTTATTTTGTAGTATTTTTTTTCTAAACTTGGTAGATGGTCTTTATGTGGCCTTGTAGTTCTGCAAATGAAGCATTAGCTTGAACCCACTTACAAATATGATTTTAGTTGAGGGAAGGTGCAAAGTTTATCACCCTCATCATCATGACAGCTTCTCTCAAGTACTCCTATGTGCTGCCATCTGGAAAAAGCAAAACCAAGTGATTTAAAAATATCTATATTTATTGTGGTGTATATATGTCCTTTTTATTTGTTCTATGCAGTTATAATTAATTACAAAGGATATTATTATCATGTCGAAGTTAATATATCAAAACCTGAAAATAGTGCCTTATTTCTTTGTAAATGTGCATGTGACTTGGGTTATGTTGAGTTAAGCAAGATTTTTTTTTATGAATACCAGGGAAACGATTGAACTGGCCTAATTGGTATGGTGACATAAGTATCGAGGGCTTTTTCATGATTCATGAGAAAAGATAAGGAAGGCCGTGTTTTCTCATCAGTCTGTAAAACCTGCAGGATACTGTGCTCTTCTTAACCGTCTTTTTATGATTGATGATTTGCACCTATTTTGGTAACATGGGAAAAAAATATATATATTTGTACTGTTGGTTGACAAGGGAAGCTGGAACCATTGTTGCATAACATTTCTGATTGTGGAGGGTGGAGTCTGTAGCTGGTTCAAATGGCATGAACACTAGTACATTGTTTGTCCTGACACAATTAGTGTAGAACTTCCTCCAGAGCTCCACAAGAACAATGGACGGTCCTAAAGCCTGATTGCATGCTTGATAGTGGAGCATGCCTTTTAAAAAAATCTTTATCAGAGGGAAACAAAACACTGGACACAAAGTAAGTTTGACAAGAAAGAGTATGGACAAGCTCTGGCTAATTGGGCAGAAGTGGAGAGGAAGAAGATCTGTTCCCTAGCTTAACCGGAAATGACTTCCTCTGACAACAAGGAAATAAAGTTCAGCCGGATGGAGATCCTAATTTCTGCCTAGAAACAACAAGCCACTTATGGTTTAAATGTTTCTAAGAACATTTTTTGTTTAAACTGCGCATATTTGTATGTGTTGATGTCACACAGAAGTGAGAGCTTTTAGTATTCTAAGTGAGGGTGTGCTGTACCATGTTACAAGGACTTAAAATGGGGAACTGCGATGTTTACTCACCAGCTACCCCCAGCCTAATAGAACCTACTGATGTGCAGCTGGGTAGATGAGTATCCCAACAAGGCTGTAGTGACAACACCAAACTCAGTTAGGACTAAAGAGGTGCTTTGTTTGTCCGCTTGAAAGCACGGCGAGAGGAGGAGCTGGACTTAGAACAAAGAGCATTTGTCAGGTGTAGAGTTTTAAATTCCGATCAACACGAGGACTTTTTTTTTTTTTTTTTTTTTTTTTTTGATGTGCAGCATGTTTGTGTGCTCAGACCTCCTGAAATAACATGATCACTCGAGCTAGTGGTGCTTAATTGTGTTTGCAAACTTCTGCCGTGCCCAGCTTTTGTCAGCCTGATCGCCACGTGACAGCGTGATGGTCTCCAAGAGCAGACCTCTTTTGACCTGAAGTTTTTCACTTGCAAGCTGGTGCTGTGTTTTGAGCGCCCGCCTTGTGACCAAGGTGTTTCCTGGCAGTGAGTGACTAATTTTATGATGGTCACTATAATTGGTTAGCATGCCCTTTTAATTTTTAATTTTTTTTTTTAAAAAGACTTCAGAAAATACAAATTAATATACTGTTTAGGCACTTGTTCAAAAGCAGTCTTTTCATAGATATTCAGAGGAATACAAAGAAAATGAAGAGGTTTATTTATGGAGAAGATGTCTGTTAAAGCGGATGTCCGTAGCTCTGTTGTAAAGGAATAAGGCTCAGGTGACTGCTGTATTATGTTTCAGCATCGAGAGGGCAGCTCTGACTGGCTGGGCTCTAAGCAGGTGTGGTGCTGGCTAGCCTATGTCCCTCTGTCTGTTCTTTTTGTTTCCCTCCATCAATCTGCAAAACACTTTGGGAGGCTTGGCGTTCGAGAGGGAGAAAGTCTTTGCTCTTGAATCTTTTTTCCTTTTTTTTTGTCTTGCGCGAGCTGTACTTGATGGTCGCAGGGTGGATTTCACCTGAGCAAGCAAGCGGGGAGCTTTGAGAGCCGCTGTTCACATGCTTCTCCAGCTCTTTACACTGGGCGCACAAAATGGCTGTCAGATTCCGAAGACAGGTAAGCCCTGGTCGCACACCTGGCCAGCTGTCGGTCACCTGCTTCAGGTCCTCTTAATGGCGCTCCCTCAGTGCTTCAGGACGTTTCTGCATGTTGGTCTCAACAGAAGGTGAAGATGAAGGTGCTGCTTCTGAAATGTGCTGTTTCTTAACCTATTGGATGCCTGTAGTTCTTGTAGGAGGGTGTCTGCGTTTTATATTCTTTTACTTGTCATAACAAGTGAATGATGATTCAGAACCTAGAACATTCCCCGTCCGTATGGTTAATGAATGTTATTAATTATTTAGACCTTATTGTTCTAATGGTAATATGAAGGATGACTGTGTTGAGCACTTGACAGCTTGTTAGTCTTTCTTGGTGGTATCTTCATGTTTACTCGCCTGAGATTCACACGCTTTTATCAAGCGCAGTTCTTCAGTGAGATGGGCCACTAGCTTTAACACATCATTCGTCATAAAAGTTACAAATATCTAAAGAACTTGTCAGTATGTTTTTCCTATTTGTGGTCCAGTGTATTCAGCCGGGTCACGCAGGCGTTTATTCGTGAGATGCCTTTCGGCACTGAGGAGAGAAACCTGAGCGTTGAGACCTTAACAACTGTGACGTGGAACTTGTGCAGTCAGGTTTGTCGTCTTTAAGGCTAAACTTTAAAGATGAGTCATTTGACTCGGCGTTTGTGATTGGCTGACTGCCTTATGGCTGTTAATGCTTTGGTGAGGATTGGACTTACATTACCGGGCTGTGGCGACCATGTTGAATGAATACCGTTAAGATAGGGTAGACTTGACTCTTGAATGATGGGAAACTCAGATGGATACATGCCAAAGACAGAATTTTTATGTCACGGGAAATACAAGCACCACTGAAGGCAGGAGTGTATAGGCGTCATCCTCTATGGCTTCACAAGCTTGAAGTATGTTATTGGTGACACTTTGGCTCAGTTTTGGTGCTCTACTGCCTCACTCCTTCAGGGTTGGGTGTTAAAGATCGTCCTCCACCCTATGCGTGTTGAGTTTGCCGTGTCATGCAGATTTCCTTTGGGTAATCCCCTGTCTTTCTGCAGTCCAAAGGATAAATTGTCCATTATGTATGATTGTCCACGTGAGTGCATCTGTAACCTGTAATGGGCTGGCATGCAGGGTGTACCCAACCTTGTGTCCTATGCTGCCTGGTATAGGCTTCAGACCCCCCTGTGACCCTGACAGGGATAAGCTGGAGGATGGATGGATGGATGGATTGAGAAATAAAAGTGTAAAGTTGCCAAAACAAGTGTGGAGATATTTTCAGTAATATCTATTTTTATAATCACTAGGCCGTGTTGATGTACCAGTCACAGTGCTGTCACTTTGAACATCTTTATTCTTCGTTGGTGTGGGTGTGGGGGATTTTTTTTTCAATCCGATTCCAGTGGAGATGCTGTAGCGTGTGGGTGTGGCCGACATCTCCCTGATTTCATGTAATAGTCTGTTTGGTTTTAGATGTCCTGATACCTCTGATAAGCAGTTGCTTCTGACACGGATGTTGTTCAGTGTTCAGATGAAAGTCGTAATTCTGAGCAGAGCTGATCGGCTGATAGCCAATTGTCTTCCGCATGGTTCTGAATGGCATGTGTGTAATAGCGATCTCTTAATGACTCCGTCTGCCTCTGAGGAGGTCAGAGCCATCAGCAGCAACATATCCTGTTTCAGAAGCTCAAACTGATACCAAGCTCCTCCTGCCCTAATGCCTGTTTGTATCTCCTCTTAAATGTTTCTAGAGAATCTGATTTATTTCTTTTGTTATGTGTATTCTTTACCGTCTGTTCTCTTTGTGGATCCCTGATGTAGTTCTAGCTCTGGCCATGGAAACCGGTATATGAAATGTGTTTTTTGGCATCTTTATTCTCTCTGGGTTTTTGGTTAAGTGGAAAAGAAGGATGGGAAAACATAGTGGACATGGCACCTTTAGTAATGTACACCTCTGATTAAAGCATGGCAGAAAACTTGGCTGAGATTCCAGGCAAGAAATTCAGAAAAATTGATTAGAATGAAGTTGAATGACTTGCTGTCCTTCATTTTTTAGACTGCCTGTATTTGGTGGAAATGTGTTTTAACATCTTTAAAATGCATGAAAAGCAAGTTTTGACAGGCTTCCCTAAGGCTTATGTTTAAGAGTAACCTTTCGTACGAATAAATTTGACTAACGGGGACGAACATAGTGCCACAGCTTGCTTGTGTGTGTGTGTGTGTGTGTGTGTGTGCGTGCGTGTGCATGTATTTTGTTTTGACTTTCTCTGATTTGTTTTCTTCTGCTGATGTTTATTTTGGGTTGGTTGATCTGGTTACACCCGTGATCCTAAGTACAAATTGTAATGCACTAAACATGATGTAGTGAAAACTCACTGTCCTACTTTATTAAAATGTACTCTCACTGGGCATCTGCAGCCCTGTCAGCCATACACAATGATACCATCGTTTTTGGTTTTCCAGTTTTGGGAAATTTATTAAATACCAAGAAAGATGAAACCTCTGAAACCAGGATTCTTTTTATCGACTAGTGCTTCAGATGGAGGTATGCATTCTTAATGCCAGGTAGTCGGGTTTATTGATGGAGGTGAGGGTGGTGAGCCTATATTTTCAGTGCTTCTCAGTCACTGCTTAATTGCAGTGCTAACTCAGTCTTTATCCAATGCAGGCAAATTGCCTGGAAGTGATTCTGGACGGGATAGGATTTCCTCAGACAACAGTATGGCAATCTTCTACGTGATACTACATGATACATGATACATAAGACATGATATTAAATGTATGAATGTAGAAAAAAATCTAACTGGAATTGAATCTTTTTGCCTTTTGTAAATTGACAAACCCATTCCAGTGGGACTGTGTTGTATCGCGTACCCATACGCTACCCCGGACATTCTTCAAACGTCCTGCTGACGCAGCGGCTGTGACAGGTGCGTTAAGGTAGCCAGCTCAATGCCTACCCGTGTTCTGGCTTTAAAAACCAGTCCGTCGCTCTTGGGAAGGCTGCCATCGCATGGCACGCATCAGCGGCTGGCATTGATCTGGCAGGGCGAGAGCTCACTTTATCAAGAGCAGCTCTGATATGGACTCTCCCCATCAATGAATTACCCCCCCAAAAAAACCTCACCGTCAATGTCATCGGCCGACAGCTGCCCTGTTAGTGGCTTGGATGTGGTGACCTCAGCTCGGCTGTGCGGAATATCCTGCATTCCGGTTTCTGGGTTGGACTGGATTGCAAGGTTTTCTCAACTGCTTTTTTGGTGCACTTAAACTTGTAACTGCTTTTTTTATACATACACAGGACAAGGTAGACCTCACTGGTGATGAAGGACTTGAATGCTTCTAAACTCATTCTGTAGATTGAGGAAGGAATTTTCTAAGATAGCATAAAAATACCTGGGATATACGTTTCTACATTCTGCTCCCTTGACATTACTTAAATCCCAGCTCTATATCTTTTGAAACTGTCTTTTCATATTGACAAAATGTTATCTATCATCTTGTACATTTTTTGGAAAGTAGCAAAGTTTGAAGATTCTGGACTATGGATTTGTATTTTGGGAGAAACTTAATCTAAACTGCCCTTCTAGTATCTAGTGGATAATACATATGAGTGAGGATAATTATCCGTGTTCGGCTGCTCTGGACGCTCTGTGAAGTCACTGCTGACTCTCTCACTAGAGGGATTGTCATCGGTGAGAGTCACGTTTGCCATTGTCTTTCTCCTCAGTAGCCTTCACAAATGTTTTCTTTGAAGAGGAAACCTTCATTTAATGATCTGGAGTTATATTACCATGTCCTTCAATGGGTTAACGCTCTTAAATAATGCAAAAATGTGTTTGACTGGATAAATACAGAAGTGTCAGGAGCACACTGGGGCGGCGAATCTAAGGCTGGTAATTTTGATGGTTATATTCCCGGTTTCCCTCGTCCCATTACCTCCCCTGCAGGAAGTATGAATGCTGTGAGTGGTATGTCTGTGTGTCTCTCTCTGTCTCACACACACACACACACACACACACACACACACACATACATACACACACACACACAGGTTTTTTGAATTATATCTTTATGGGGACTCTCCATTCATTTCTATAGGCAAAACCCTAATCCCAACATGACAGCCTTAACCCCTACCCAGCCCTAACCTTAACCATAAGTAACCAAACAAAATATAAGACTTTTTAAAAAGTTTTTTTTAAACATTTTCAGTTTTTTGATTGCAGTCACAGATTTTTATAAGATTGTTTCCCCTTGTGGGGGTGGAAAAAAATGATCCCACAACATCAAAACAGGTTTGTATCACATTGTGAGGACATTTGGTCCCCTCAACATAACGTCCTCACAACGTCTGAATCATGCCTATGCATGCACACACACACACACACACAGTCCTCTCGATTCTTCTCCTACTGACTCCAGTGCTTCCAGAATGCATTTTTTTATTTATGAGGAAAAGATGTGTTAAATATTTAAAATGGAAGGGAAGCAGAACTTCAATAAGACATGAGCTCCAGCCACTGAGATGTTGAACTTTGCTTCTACAACCTGTCTGTAGTGTCTCAATACAGCTGGTATGGGTGCTAGCCTGATTTAGCTTTTATGTCGAGTCATTCATTCTTACAGCTGAGAGTCATGCGACACACATTTAAAAAATATATGTGAATTATACAGCAATGGTTGTTTATAAATCCTTTCTTGCATTCAAGCATTTGTTTGTTAAAGAATGTTTCTGTATCTCATAACATACTTTAGTCCAAAATGATCCAAATGGCTCTGTAATTAAATTTTCAAGGATCGGTGAAGGTCACTTGATAGCTGAGGTGTCAGTCCTGTTAAAACATGAAAATTCACATCTCTTTTCTGTGTGGTATTACTTGCAGTACTCAGAGTTACATCCTTTGGAATGAGATGTCTTGTTCACGTAAAAGTCCTTTTAATACTCTGAAATCCTTCAAAATAGAATCTGATTGTTCTGATTTTGTACCATGC